AATGATTAAAATAATAAGCTCGCTGAAGTGCACAATCGTTTAACATAAGGGTTTACTGTAAGCTAAAGCTTTTAACTTATAGCATACAAGTGTAAATAGTATTATGTAAATTTAACACAACAAAACAGAAATCGTTGTCACTGATTAAGCTCAGGCCAGGTTTGTTTTCCTCTCTTACAATCTTCGTGGAGATATACATACTTATAACTTTATTTATTTGTGTATGTGTGAGTGTGAATGTGTAAGTTTTAAGACGTCATCCTTTAACTAAGGTCCACATAATTATTTAAGTAACAAGTCATGCTCTGAGGGTTCTTTACCCATTTGAGCAAAATTAAACAAATTTGAAATAATTTCATAACCGTGTAAGCTGGAAGCTCTTACCTACAAATATAAAAAAGGTTTGAAATCATATCTAGACCGTGTAAGATCAATCTTCTTAACCACGTGGGCAAAAATAAAAAGGTTTGAAATCATATCCAGACCGTGTAAGATCAATCTTCTTAACCACGTGGGCAAAAATAAAAAGGTTTGAAATCATATCCAAACCATGTAAGATCAATCTTCTTAACCACGTGGGTTGCCCACCACGGGTATCGAAACCAGGTTTCTAGCGTTGTAAGTCCGCAGACATACCGCTGTCCCACTGTGGGCCTAAATCTAAAGACAATTTCGTAATAGATAAAGTGTTTTCTACAGATACAACTAATTAAAAGTAAGATTGTTTTTGAGAAATGTTGTTTTAATATTTCAACTAGCTAGAGGTAAAGTTATTTTTCGAATAGATAAGTTTATAAATATTACAACTATCCAGAGTTAATGTCATTCATCTGTGTATATATATCTATATATCTAAATAAATAATGTACATATACATATATCTGTGTATATATCTAAATAAATAATGTACATATACTTATATTTGTGTATATATCTATCTTAAAGTTGTTTTGAAAATGTTACAAATTATTTAAACATTCCTAAAACATAATAAAAAAGCGCAACAACCTATAAAGACGGAGATTAAGATTAAACATTAAGAGACTCTGAAGAAATAATTCAACCGAACTTATGATTATTTCAAGGATTATTAACAATCAAATCTATATAATGCTTTGACCAAATGTTCACTCTTTGAGGACAAGGAACATAAGACATAAACGTAACACGGTTTGTTGTAATCGAGTTAGGTGTTACTTACTTTAGAAAATTTCAGTCGAGAGTGAATTTTCATGAGTAAAAAACTAAAGAACGTAAAATGCAATTTCACCACGAAAACATATCAATAATTTTGTTTATTTTTTATGGATTTTCAGCGCTGCTCTTTTTATATCTTGATAAGACTGACCATTTCATATACTTGAAACGTAACTATATGGATTTCATGGCCTGTGGAGTGCAGACAAGGAAAAGCTTTTTATCTTTCAAAATATGAAACATCAAGCAACATTTTCGTTCTTTTCTAAAGTTACTCGAATAGAGTTGACATTTAAGCACCTGGCCAAGCCGAGCCCCAAAACATAACTAATTCAAATCTATTGCCAGATTTGACATTTAAGCACCTGGCCAAGCCGAGCCTCAAAACATAACTAATTCAAATCTATTGCCAGAGTTGACATTTAAGCACCTGGCCAAGCCGGGCCCCAAAACATAACTAATTCAAATCTATTGCCAGAGTTGACATTTAAGCACCTGGCCAAGCGGGCCCCAAAACATAACTAATTCAAATCTATTGCCACAACGTTATTAAAAAAACCAAACAAACCTAGATAATGAAAGTTTACTTATCCAGAAATTTGAGTTTCTGCGTAAACAAACTATCCCAACTACATTTATCCAGTAGAACACAGTCTTTATGAGTGATATTAGAAAGTGTATATGCAACAAAGCTTACAAACAACCTTGGTGTCTCAGGTATTAGACTGTGTTGTGTTATATGTACGTCGATAAGTGTACTAAAACGGTAATCACCAGTGACGCCATTTCAGCAAAATCTTGGGGGGGGGGGCAAAGTTGAACTCTAATTTGTACAAAATACATGAATTGTTGATGACGTAGCACGTTTCGGAGTTCAAACATCAACAGTAATAATTACGTAAGAACCACAGGGCTATGAGGAACAACAACAACAAAAGACAAAAAAAAAAAAAAAATGGACATTTTGCTGCCCCTCCCCCAAACACCCACTGATAATCATATACAGATGTAGCGTCATTTCGAGGTACAAGCGCATTCTGATCGTTAATCAACGTTTTTAGTTCTATTGTGTCGTAATAGTACTCTTAGGGTGCATCGAGTTGAATCATTCCAGTGGAATTTGATCAACCAATAGTCACAAAGAACAGCTGACTAACTTAGACAATTCTCCTTTGTGAATTCACCCCACCTCGACTGAACGTCGGGTAATTTAAGAGTATTCACTATTTTACCCTCGCACGTAATAATACCTTTCTACAAATGTGAGGCGAGTTTTGATGACTCATTCAAAAATGCAGGATTATCCAAAATTATTAGCGTTTTTCTCCCCTGGTGGCGAGTTACTGACTTTCTACATAAATAAGTACCTTCGTAGTCGATGTAATCAAGGAGTTTCGCCGAGCCAAGTGAGAGTGATTAGCTGATTTATGTAATTCCTGTTTTAGCCCTTAGTGTGTTTAATAAACACTATTAAATATATTAATTTGGTTCTACACAAAATAATTTTTGTGTACAGGTATTCAGGCAATTCCTATAACTCCTTAATGACATCAACAAAATTTTAAAGTAAAAATGTTTTTAAATTCTTATACTTATAGTTGATTTTTTTTAAAGAATTACCAAAGAGCCAGAGTCTCGTGTTAGTTGTTTCTATTTCTAGCATTTCCAGCTAGAGCAACAAGAAAAGTGATTACATATCATTCTGGATAGTTATTCAGTCTTCCCTGTGTCCGCAAAATCTTAGTTAGTTTTAATTAATTCGATATTATGCTGTTAGCACTCTCTGACTAACATAAACCTTAAAAAATATATCCTAGCAGAGCATAAATGATAAATTAAATTTGTTAAATGGTTTAATGCACAATTAAGTTTCTTTAACAACAACAACAACAAAAAATCGTTTTTTTTTAAATCAGCGTCTCTAATGCTGTGTAAAAACTTTTTCACAGGTTCGGTGTCGCTGAATTTGCAAATTAGTGTCCGTCTACTGTGTCGGTTTTCATAGAAAAAAAATATTCCATTAATATTAAAAAGAGATTAGATGAAGAAGTGGTGATTAATTACATCCAGTGGCGTCTTCTTGTGTCAAATATATATATGTGAAATGTTATTGGCCAGTTGGTAACAACCTTCACTGAAAGCTTGAAGTCAACCAAAAAATGTTTATGTGAATCATTAAGTCCGAATATTAATGCCGGATGACAGGTGAAATGCGCGTGATATGGAAATTTGAAACGTAAATATACAAGTAAGTTACTATTTAACAATGCTATAATTTCTTCAGATGATTTTTGTAAGTTTATTTTTGAGCCAGTGTTAAAAAGTATATATTGCATTAATAGAGGTTTCACCAAATGAATATGATACTTAGATGCTTATTATTCTACACTGAGGACGATATTTAATAATTTTCTAAGAATCTGTTCCTTAATTAAGTATATATTGCATTAATAGAGGTTTCACCAAATGAATATGATACTTAGATGCTTATTATTCTACACTGAGGACGATATTTAATAATTTTCTAAGAATCTGTTCCTTAATTAAGAACATGTATATATATATATAATCATAAACATTTGATTCGTACTTAAAATGCACTAAAATGAACCTGTTATGATTAGATTATCATAATAATATGTTAAATGCAATTATATAAAAATGCCACTAACTAATTCACCTTTAAAGCAGTCTCCATGAAAAGAGTATGGTATCTCCATAAATTTGTATTATTCTACGTTATTTCGTCAAAACTTACACATATTTCTGTTTACTAAAACTCAAATAGTTAAACTCTATTATACTTACAGGATTTTGAGCCGATGGAGACCTCGAAAATCTTCTGCTCTGACAGTAGAGATGTTGTTGTGATCGAGATCTCTACAAAGGAAAAAACTGACATTAAGAATCACAGTTGTCAACTTTTAACATGTTTAAAAATTATCTGTAAAACTAGAGAATCCTTAATAACCGCGGCACTTGAAATTCTTTTAGGCAGGATTAGAGTAAATTAATCTATGATACTTTTTCCCCTTTTTTATTAACTATATGTTTGCCCCCCAGTGAAACAGCGGTATGTCTGCGAACTTACAACGCTAGACTCCGGGTTTCGATACCAGTGGTGGGCAGAGCACAGATAGCCCATTGTGTAGCTTTATGCTTAATTACAAACAAACAAAGCTATATTTTTAGCCAATACCAAGTGGGGGCGAGCGTATACCCGACTCAATTTTATTACTCATCACGATCTTTACCAGACTAACCTCAAATTCAAATTCTTTTAGGCAGGATTAAAGAAAATTAACATGAGACCTTGGGCGTGGTCAAATACGTCAATCGAAAGGGTTTGACCGCCTGAGTCCAAAATTGTATTGTAATTAAATCTCAAATCGGTCAAGAGATGGCGGAGCTATGAGCTGAAAGTTTGTATTTGATAAAATAAAAAACAACAACATCAGAGTCATTCTATGAGCCACTATGTCGCGATTAAAAATCAAGTTTTGGAAAAAAAAAGTATATTTGTTCTAGAACTATAATTATTGTTCTTCTAAATCATTAAAATAATATAAAAAGAAAATATTTAAACATTAATGTCACCAGGTGGTTTAATCGTTTAGTGTAGAATATTTGAGTTATATGTGTGTGTGACCTAAACGCGTTTTATTTTTTAAAAATTTCATTCAATTAGAATATAATTAAAGCTCTCCTTCTATGTTTGTCAATATGACCAATCGTTATGATTTTGCATGAAGGTAATACCATAGGATTATTAATGTTGTTACATTACACGTACTAGTAATATTATATAGTCTATTAGTTGACATATTCCTTCAGATCCGAAATCCGACACCTCATGTCCCTCTCCAGGGGGCTCTAAAGATACACGCCAGGTTTGGTAACAATCGGTCTAGTAACTCATCAGTATAAGTGGACACATACAAATAATGGTTCAGATTACGATTAGTCTAATCCTTTCAGTTTTGGTTCAGATTACGATTAGTCTAATCCTTGCAGTTTTGGTTCAGGTTACAATTAGTCTAATCCTTGCACTTTTGGTTCAGATTACGATTAGTCTAATCCTTGCAGTTTTGGTTCAGATTACAATTAGTCTAATCCTTGCAGTTTTGGTTCAGATTACGATTAGTCTAATCCTTGCAGTTTTTAATTGCTAGTAACAACATAAGTTACTGGGATGACCTGGTTGTTAGGGTGCTCGACTTGCAATCTGTGGGTCATGGGTTCTAATCCCATCACCGAACATGCTCGCTCTTTCGGCAGTGGGAGCGTTATAATGTACATGTCAATCTCACTTTTTGTTGGTAAAAGAGTAGCTCAAGAATTGGCGGTGGGTGATGTTGACTAGCTACTTTCCCACTAGTCTATTGCTCCTAAATTAGAGACGGCTAACGCAGATAGCCCTCTAGTAGCTTTGCGCGAACTACATGAAACAAACACCATATTGAAAAATTCATATTTTATAAAACAACGATTAATTTGTATACAATTTTAAAAATGAGGCTGTTTCCAGTCTCAAAATTACAATAAAATACCAATAACTTACTGTACAAGGTAAAAAAGCAAAAACCCGATGAGACTGAATGAGGTGTAAAAGAGATATTGTTTGTTTGAAGTTAAGCACAAAGCTACACGATGGGCTATATGTGCTCTGCCACCACGGGTATCGAAACCCGGTTTCTAGCGTTGTAGGTCCGCAGACATACCGCTCTGCTACTAGGGGCGTAAAAGAAAAAACACCAAAGTTCATAAGATTGGATTGCAGCATCAGATACAAGAAAGTGGAATATCAACTTGAGAAACTAAAGAGAAGGTATTGAATATTGTGATTCGACAAAAAAGAAGTTTCATAGCCGAGAAGGAAAAAAAAGGGTATATTTATTCCATTTAGCTCTATCTAAAGGAATGAAGGGAGAATGGACGGGGTGGGAGAGGAAGTCATGGCTTTTTTGTTTGAAGTTAAGCACAAAGCTACGCAATGGACTTTCTGTGCTCTGCCCATCACGGGTATCGAAACCAGGTTTCTAGCGTTTTAAGTCCGCAGACATACCGCTGTGTTACTAGGGGGCAGGAAGTGATGGGTAACTACAGAGAAAAATTTTGCTAGATGTAAAATTACGTTAAACAAAAAACTTTATTAGCTCAGAAAAAAGAAGTCAGTGAAGAACATTATAACTAGATCCATTACTAGAGAAGTATGATATATTTTCAAATAAACATAAAGTTATAAATAAATCAGATTTAATACTAAATGATAAACAGTTAGATGTTTTAAACACAAGTTTAAATTTCCCATGTGGTCCAAAAAATGTTATAAAACAGATATCATAACTGAAATTGAAACTAACTTGAAAATATTAAATGTTGAAAAAGCGCATATTGTTAGAAGTGAGTTGTATTTTATTAAATAATTTTAAACCCATAAATAATAACAAAAAGGATTTTGAAATTTTGAAGAGTCTAAAGAACCAAAATATGGTTATTTGCAAGGCTGATAAAGGGGACAAACTGTACTTATTAACAAAAAAGAATAAGACTCTAAAGTTGAAGAAATGTTGAAAGAAGGTCCGTATGAGAACATAAAAGTAAATCCTATAAATAAACTTCGTACAATGGTTAAAGAAAAAAACTAAAAACTGTATAACTCTAACACCTTATGAAAAGCAAAGTTTAATTCCCAGTAACTTTTCTTTACCTAGACTATATGCCTTCTCTAAAGTTCATAAGATTGGGAACAATTTTAGAACTATTGTATCTAATATTAAGAGTTCAGCTTATAATATAGTAAAATTTATATCGAAAAAATTATCATTTTTAAGGGATAAAAATAAATACACAGTTAATTGTAACTAATACTAAGAGTTCAGCTTGTAATGTAGTCAAAGTTATATCGAAAAAATTATCATTTTTAAGGGATAAAAATAAATACACAGTTAATTGTAACTAATACTAAGAGTTCAGCTTATAATGTAGTCAAAGCTATATCGAAAAAATTATTATTTTTAAGGGATGAATATAAATACACAATTAAGAATTCGTTTGAAATTGTTGAGAGAACTGAGCATGTAATTTTAGAACAGTTTGTTTGTAATTAAGCACAAAGCTACACAATAGGCTCTGCCCACCACGGGTATCGAAACCCGGATTCTAGCGTTTGAGTCCACGGACATACCGCTGTGCTACTTATGTGCCTTTAGAATAGAAATATATTTTGGTGTCTTTTAATGTTGTGTCAATGTTCACCAAAGTACCTGTGAAAAAAAAGCTATTGCATGTCTTGAGAAAAAATTGAAAGAAAATAATAATTCGGTTATAGAAATAACGGATATGATTAACCTGGTAGAAGTATGTGTTGAAAACTCTTTTTTTGTTTCAATTAACAGTAAAGTTTATAAACAAAACGAAGGTTCACCTATAGGTCCTCATTTATATCCGTTATTATGTGATTTATTTATGGACAGTTTTGAAACTGAAGCGTTAGAAAAACTGTATATAAATCCTAAATTTTGGTTAAGGCATGTTGATGACACATTTTTTATTTGGCGGCATGATAAAGAGGAATTGGTTCTTTTTGCTAATTACCTTAATAGCATTGATAATTCTATCAGATTTATTTATGAACAATAGCTATTTGCCTTTTTTTGGATGTTTTAGTGAGCAAATATAAGGATAAATTGAAACTACTATCTATTGAAAACCTTTCTCTGTAATCATTCCGCCACATTAAAAATCTTGTCACACTAAATCTCAAGAAACTACTGTTTTTAACTGTGACATGGATAGGATGCTAAAATTATGTTATAAACAGGATGATATTAATAATGAGTTATTATTAATTAAGTAAATAGCAGTAGAAAAAATGTTTTAACCCTGATATTTTTGACAGAGCTGTCAAACAACTACAAAACAGGGATAAAAATATTAAGCTAAAGCTACTGGCTTATCCTGTCAAATAATGAAACACGTTAGAACACAAATAAGCATATTACTGATATATAAACCGAAAAACAAATTTAGCAAAGTTCTTATGACTAAAGATACAATTGATTTAATGGAAAATGTTTGATTATAAAATATTATGTGAATGTGAAAAAGTTTATATTGGACAAACAAGATGAAATTTAAAATTCAGAATGAATGAACACAGAAGAAATGTTAAAATAATAATATTGTTATTTCACATTTAGCAGAACATATTAATGAAATTAAACAAATAATTCAATGGAAAAAAACTGTTATTTTATCACAACCTGAAAATGTTGTTATTATGAATATACGTGAGACTATTGAGATAATTAAATAAAAAAAAGTAAATTTAGAATATTGAATAAGGATGATGGATCTGGTGGAAATGTTGTCAGCGAGAAAATCTTTAATGTGTGAATTGATGATTTTGTAATGGTATAGATAAGTGTTATTACACTCCTGAGGATGATGGAGTAAAATATGTCGAGTATGTGAGACTGTTTGCAGTCTCATCCGTTTTTTGTTTTTTATCCTCTACTGTAAGTTATTTGCATCTTATTGTAATTATGAGACTGGAAACAGTCTCATTTTTAGAATTGTGTAAAAAATAATCGTTGTTTTATAAAATGTGAGTTTTTTAACATTGGACATTACACAAGCGCCAATAAATTTTAATATTTTAAACACCATATGTTATATTAGCATGTGCTTAACGGTTTCGAATCTGAAGTGATAGTGACACTATATGATTTATTAAGACACATCTAATCGTGAGTTATATATGTTAGTGACGTTATATATTATCACATGGTTGTTACACAGTAAGTTAATTAGATTATGTCCAATCAAAGTTATGCGTGATAAGAAAATTGCACAGTTTATTTAAAATTCATTAAAAT